ACCAATATATTGTACTTTATTTAAAGATAACATGTAAAATTAATATTAAAAAAGATAACATGTAAGTTATTAGCCAGTTACCTTCCTATTTTTTTTTTCCAGAACCGGGGATTGAACTCAGGCCCTTGTGCTTGCCAAGGAAGCGCTTATTTCACTGAGCCATCTCCCCAGCACCCCTATTATCTTGTTTTGAAATTTAGTTTTACCTCTTTTTAAAAAAAGCAGTGTGCCTATTCCCTTTGTTGACAAAGGCAAATTTCCCTCAGAAAGCAGTGGTCTCAGCACTTCTCTTTTGAATGTTATCATATTTATATAAAGTGTAACAATTGTTTTTATAATTAACGCATGTCGTTTTTTTATTTGTGTGTGTGTGTGTGTGTGTGTGTGTGTGTGTGACCAGCTCAGCCCACCTGGGGGCGGGGCCGGCTGGCATGTGGTGCTGGGGGATTGAACCGCGGTCCCTGTGCTTTGCTAAGCTTGTTCTAAGTAGGTGCTTTAGACCACTGAGCCATCTCACCAGCCCGTAAGTGTAACAATTTTTTAAAGAAATCTTGTGCCACAAAGATCACTTTATTTTCACAGGCGTTGGGGTGGGGTGGATGGATTTGTATAGGAAATGAACCACTGCACAACACTGAAATTATTTCTTCTAGACATTTAGTTTCATTGTCACTTCTTTCCCTTTTAGGATCCTGGCTACTGTGTTCTCTGATTGGCTTCCTTTGTGTTTCTGTTATCTTCCCAAGGCAGTATTACAATCAAGCCTTGACAGGAAATGACAGGATGTCTGGTTCTCCAGGAATGGTCATCTTCAAGAGCCATGCAGTCAGGTACATAAAACTCAATAGGACTGATTTCTTCTAAATTCAAAATATTAAAATTATATACAGTGCATTTAATTTCACATTTTAAAAAAAGTTAAGTGCACTTTCAAGAGACAGACTAAAGTTGATAAAATGTTTTGTGCTTTCAGTTTCTATTTCCTATAAATTTCTAACCCCAAAAACCTTCTGCCATTGTGTCCCATTATTCCCAGATTCCAGTAGCAGAGACTGTGTTTCACTTAAAAAAAAAAAAAAAAAAAAAAAAAAAAAAAAGCGGTCTATGGAAAGGAACAGATAATGCTTAATTTGTTTTGTCTCCTTTTTTCAATTGTTTGTACTTTTTCTCTTAATTTTGTACACATTTTTCTTTCTTCCAATTTTGCATGAATATATCTGCTAATATGACTGACTGGAAGATAACACTATGCACTACAAAAAATACTGTGAAATTCATATTACTTTGTTAATGAAATTCTGTATCACTTATAATTTTGTTTTAATACTATTTTGAACTCTAAACAAAAAACTTTTCAAAAACGATGAAATCTTTAACTGTACTGTGAGGTATGGTAAGGCAACCAGAGTTCACTGAAACTTCACGTAGAATAAATCCTTGGGAGAATAATTCTTGAAGCATAAAGAATGAATATAATTCTGGCATTTGTGATTACTGTTTAAGGACTGAATTTTACCTAGAACCCACAAAATAATGCTAAGAAACTGTTCTTCTGTAGAGTTGCAAAGTCTTGCTTGTTTTCCTTGGACATTTATTTCCTTGTACCTCTCACTAATTGCCATTTCGTTTAACAAAGTCTAGAAACAGACACTTCTGACAGGTAACAAAAGAATGATGCTTACTGCATCTGTTCTTCTCAAGAACCCTGATTTATCAACCTGAACTTTAATAGGCAAAGTCAGGAAATGTGAGTCAGAATTATGGTTGTTCAGAATGGTAAAATGTATCATACCAGAACACCAAAGATTTGCTTTGTATTTACTAAAGAAAGGTTACTCTTAATAGGGTAACACCTCTAAAATATAATTTACATAAAAGATCCTTGATATAGTACCACCAAATCCATTATTTCAGTTCTAGAATAATATTCACTAAGTTATAGTAATACTGACAGGCCAAAATAAAAATCCATATGGTAATCCATATAAATTATATATAAACCAGTTTTCATATTTTATTAACATTCAACTATATAATAGCCAACTTATGTACTAATAACAACATCATTAGAGAACTATGAGGCAGACCTTTATAATTATATTGTTAAGACTATTTAACATAGAAAAATATTTATACTGTATATTAAATAAAAAGAACCAATTTACATAATTCTCTATAGTAACTACAATTTTTCCTCAGCACTTTAGTTTTAGGACTCCCTTCAGATAACAAAATCTGCAGATGCTCCAAGTCTCTTATAAAAAGGATGCAGTATTTATACATCCTCTGTATACTTTAATTTCTCTCTACACTGCTTATGCCTAATAAAATGTAAGTTCTATGTAAATAGGTATTTAGTATACTGTATAGTGCATAATGACAAGAAAATTCTGTACAAGCTTAGTACAGATTTGATTTTTTCCAAATATTTTTATATGAAGTTATAGCACTTGAATCCACAGAAGCAGATCCCAGAAATATAGAGGACCCAACAGTCCATAGTTTAGAAAAAAAAAAATTACAAATATCAAAAATGCTGAAGTTCATTGCATCCATGACAGAATTATAGATTTTAATCCATACTTTTTTCTTCCAGGTTTTTTTGGTGGAGGGTTCTTTTGTTTTGAGACAGGGTCTCACTGTGTAGTTCAGGCTGGCCTTAAATTTGCTTATATAACCCAGGCTTTCCTATCATAGTAATCTATCCTCCTGCCTCAGCCTCCCAAGTGTTGCAACTACAGGTATGCACCACTATAACCAGCCTCTTCCAGTTTTATAGTTTTTAAAATTCATGAAAAGAGGACTGGGTATATAGTTCAGCAGCACAGCGCCTGCCTGACAAGCATAGGGACCTAAGTTTGATTCCCAATACAAAAAAAAAAAAAAAAAAAAAACCTTATGAAAACCTTTATAATGGGAAAAATAGATTTAAAGCAAACTATTTTTTGGCTGGTATACTAATATTCACAACTGCGTGGTGCTGTTGCACAATAACTTTTTTCAGAAGAATTGTTTCAGATTTAGAATTTTTTTAAATATTGGATTATCCAGATATATATAGATTCTCAGTGATCAACCCATGCCTACATACAAAATGTTTCATATAAGCCTTATACACATGGGGTGGAAGTGATTGCATATAAAATGTTTAGTGTGTCTGTGTTCCGACTATGACTTGTTACATAAGGGTAGAATTTTCTGCTGGTAGTATCATGTCAGGTACAAAAAGAAGTTTTAGACACATAAGCTTAAATATCAGATGGTTTCTTGTAAGAAACTCAAAATATAAAGAAAAATAAATAGGAAATACACTGATCTTTTGCAAAAGGGAAGGGGACCTCAGAGCAATCCTCTTGGGCCCCTCTTCTGTCTCTCTCTTGAACAGGAGCATTCTTTCCCTCAATAAATATATTCTGCTCTAAAAAAAAAAATTAAAAATTAAAAAAAAAAAAAGAAAAAGGGAAGAGGACCATGAGATGGGGGGGGGGAGAGGAGGAGATAAGAAATAAATTCAGAGAGCCGGAGAGATAGCTCAGTGGACTAAGTGCTTGCTTAGGTAAGTAAAGGAGCCAGGTTTTGATCCCTGGCACCACATGCTGTGCCAGCCCCACCCCCAGGCACACTGAGACCCAATGGAGTCCGGGCATGGTGGCGCACTCCCATAATCCCAGCACTAGGGAGGCTGAAAACAGGAGGATCACTGCGAGTCTGAGTTAAGCAGTGAGACCCTGCACAGGAAAAAAAAAGAATTCAGATGTGTGATATACATGTACCAACTACCCAGGAGAAATATAGTCATTATGTATGCAAACATGTACCAATAAAAATTTAATTTAAAAAAAATACCCTTCCCCTGGGGAGAGGCTGTGGAAACAAGTTTTGGGTTTTTTAAATGTATTTAGTACAGGTTCTACAGGGTCTCACTACACAGATCAGACTCATAGTGAACCTCCTATTTCAGCCTTCCAAACACTGGGATTATAGGCATGTGCCATCATCCCCAGTCTCTACAAGTTTTGGATTTTGAAGCATTTCAGATTAGGGATTTTCAGATGAAAGATCCTCAACATATAACTAATTGTTCCAATCTCTATTAAAATTTCCACACCAGAGTATAGAAAGACAAAAGAGAGAAGAAAGTAATGGAGAATATTTCCAGGAAGTATGTCATCAAATTTTTAGAAATATATGTAACCAAATCTTTCTGATCAGAAACTTCATAAGGTCACAAGAAAATAGTTCACACAAACAAGCAGTACCTCTCCAGACCACTGAAGGCAGCGTTCCCTTTCTTCTTGAAATTCCCCAAGGAAAATGATTCCTCAGCCTCATCCAGAACTATTTCTGGAAAAATACCCAAAGTTGTGAAAATACATAACCTCTTTACAAAAGCCTAACACACTGTAGCTGAAAAGGGGTATGGACTCACACATACCTTAGGTTTAAATCCAAACTTAAGTTATTAATCTATTAAATGGAGCTAGTATTGCTTACATTAATAGATCATAATCAGAATTAAGGAAGATACTGGTAAAGCTCTTGAAACAGAAGACAATGTTACTCTCCTGTTTCTATCTTCCTTTTTTGTCAGTGTTTCTCAAAATTTAGAATGCAACTACTATGTCAAAATCACTATCAAAGAGGCTCACTCCATAACCCCTGGAGACAGACTTTAATTCTGCATTCTGTCAAATATTGCCAGTTTAAATATTCATGTATTTACTACTTTTGTCCTCTTCAGATTCATAAAAGTGTTAAAAACTTTTCCCCATAAAAATATTAGATGATCCTTGAGGATAAGAAAGAAAGTTCTCAGGCACTGTGTTTTAAGTTAAAAAAAATTCATCCAGTCTTTTCAGGGTACAAACTTTGTACTTTAAACATTCATGGGGCTAGGGAGATGGCTCAGCAGAATAAGCACTTCCCTGGCAAGTGCAAGGGCCTGAGTTCAATCCCCGGTTCCACAAAAAAAATTAAAAATTAAAAAAAAAAACCATTCATATTCATCTCTAAAAGCTCTTCAGTTCCTTCACATGTCCAGTTAAGGACAACTAATATTAGACTACAATCTACCATAATTCAAAAGGAAAGTACTTAAATGATTAACTAAACTCATTTACAATTGACAAGATAAAATCAAATAAAAAATAAAATAAAATAAAATTGGTGGTTCAATTAGTCTTAGTAGGAAAAGCTCTTTTTACTTGCAAATATAAGAGAATGTATGTATCTTATATGCAAATCAAGAAATATATGTCATAGGTTTTTATATCTTGTTGTACTATTTTCTAATTAGATTCTAATTTCTAATTTTGACTTATAGGTCAAAATAACCAAAAACCAAATACATAAGATTTGTGGAGAGAAAAGTCTATAAATTTATAATAGTACTGTTTACATGAACAGTCAATTCTTAAATCCCTCAAACTTCAGAACATTAAAATAAACTTTTATTTATAGATTCCCCCTTTCAGTTCCAAAAGTGATTATTCTTAAGTATTCATCACATAAAACTTAGCTGAATCAAGTAAGAAATAATTATTCAATCCAAATATCAACCCAAAACACAGATATTATACATACTGCCTCCATATTTTCCTTTTGTTTCTTTCCTACATAAAAGCAGAAAATTGTTAATATCCTCACTATAAAACTCTGACCAAACCTTTGGTCTTTTCAAGTAATTCAGAAAAGGTAACTCAAGAGAAACCCCTGAGACATGGTAGTCTTTGCTGCGTTACAGGAGCCTCTCACCATAAGCCCTAATTCACTCTCCAAAGATGGATGACTTGTGCTATTCACAAAGGTCTGTTCCATTTCCTTTACAGATTAAGCTACACTCTACTGTCAACAAAATTTGTCCCTTCCATTTACATTAGAATATTTCTTTTATGTTTTAGCACAGTAATCTCCACTCTCAAGAGAAGCTAACTGAAATACACCCATTTGTGTCTTTGGTTACAAGAGCAATACAGCGTGTGTGCTGTTAATACGGTTCTACCATGGCTAAGATTGGGAAAAAAATCCTATAGGTAGATATAAATGTAACCTGTATTGACTAAGCTCCTTACAGTTCATTATATAAAGTACAGAATTTTTTTTTTAATTCTGTACATAATGATAGTAGCCACTTCAGAATAAGGCTACTATCAACAGGCTACTATCCACAAACTTTCTGTAATGCAGCTCAGTTGGAAAGGTCACTGAATGTGATTCCTTTAGTCTCGCCAGGGCTGGCTAGGTCTCCGAAGGGCACACAAAAGACAAGAACATGTCCAGCTGGTTCTTCACGATAACTTCATCTGGGTGCAGCTTGTGCGGTAGATAATGAGCCAGTGTCATCTCCCAGGCATCAACAAGGTATACACCAACCCCTGAGAACATCCTCCGAAGGACAGTGTCCAGCTGAAAATTGTACCAGTCGCTGTTGAAGAGGCTCACCTCAGGACCTAGCTCTTGGGCATTGGCTGTCCGAATGACCACTATGGTCTTAGGGCTTCGATCCAAGAGCTGGACCACTGCTCTACGGATGTTCCTGAGACGCCGGATGTATACTTCCCAGGGGAAGGTGCTGAAGTGAGACCATATGGCTATAGCAACTACTGTGTTCTTTCCTCCCACGATCCCATTCAGTTCGTTCGCCACATAATGGAGCTCATTGCTAAAGACAGTTGTGAAGCGGATAGGTGGACCATGGCAGCGGTATTTGAGCAAGATGTTATGCTTCTGGTCCACTGCAAGGAAGGGACCCACATTCTTAGGGCTACCCAAGTTAAATTCCACTAGATCTGAAACAAGAAAAATTCAATTTCATGAAAATATTCAAACTAAGTTCATATATTTTGGTCACACTGTACCTATCTTGTATTATTAATGCTTAAAATAGGTTACTTTTTTCTTCCTGTAATCCCAGACTTCTCTTCCAGATTCTGTTATCTAATTCATTACTACTTAGTATCCAGCCCTACTGAAACTGCACAAAAGCTCAAGCTACTGTTTTCTTTTGATTAAGATCAAGCACCCACACAAGGCTTTATCAGATGAAAATATTTCTGTAAAGGGTCTGGTGGAAAACAATCAAATTGGTCAATTTGATCACTGCCTTCAGTGGAAATACCAAATTACATCATAAGAAATTAAGAAGCAAGCAACTACAGCCATCTGAAAGCCCTGCCTACTCAGCCTCCTACCATGCTCAGTATCAAGCAATAGTTTCTCTTTTTATTATTTGTTTTATCAAATAGAACTCAACTATGTACCTTTCAATAAAAAACAAAAACTGTAATTGGCTTTTCCTTTTAAGATAACACCTACTTCTTTTCTTTCTAAAAATCAAATTTGAAAAATAAAAAAAAATTTTAAAAAATCAAATTTGAAAGTTTATGTATTAAGTAGGAGAGCTAATGAAAAAATCACAGTAACAATTCACAGCAGACCATGGGGATGTAATTTATGAAAAGTCCTGGCCATCTCTAACAATAAAAAAATAGTTCTCACAAACCTATCAGAGGGGTCGGGGAGATGACTCAGTAGAATAAGCACTTTCCTGGCAAGCACAAGGGCCTGAGTTCAATCCCCAGTTCTGCCAAAAAAAAGAAAAATTTGCGGGGGCCTGGGAGATGGCTCAGTGGAATAAGCGCTTCTCTGGCAAGTGCAAGGGCCTGAGTTCAATCCCCAGTTCCACAAAAAAAAAAAAAATAAAATAGATGTGGTATTTTTATACAACGAAGTACTACTCAGCTGTAAATCCAAAAAAAAAAAAAAAAAATTTTAGGCTGGGGATATAGCTCAGTGGCATAAGTGCCTGCCTGGCAAGCACAAAGTCCTGAGTTTGATCCCCAGTACCAAAAAACAAAACAACAACAACAAACCTATCAGTTTCCTAGGATCCATCCATCCTTACCTCATCCACATCACTTCAGAAAAAGAAAGCCTACTGTGAATAAATGGTGGGCTTTCAACTAGTGAGGTTCTGCTCTACATCTGGACAGCAATCCCAGAGGAAAGCAGAGAAATCAAGAAGCTAAGAACACTAGAACTTATGAGGTATAAAAAGTATAGCCATATTAACATTCTGAGATATAAAAGGCTCAAGCCAACAACTTCTCACATTGCCAGTCCTATGGAAAACCCACTACTATTATGGACTACTGGACTATATTGGAATATTTTGCAGAATTCATGCACTTACAATATTTAAATGACAATGGAATACCCATTGCTGAGAAAACTGAACGAAAAAAGGGGGATACAAATGAACAATCATTTTGTATCTGTGTATACAAAATAGTTACGATGAATATACAGCTACTTTCTCTTAATTCAATGAACAGAAAGATTTGTTCTAATGGTGTCTGTGGACAAGATATGTCTGCATCTTGTACAATGAATAACCACTAAGACAACAGTATGCAATGTATTAATTATTTTTTTTATGAGAATATATTTATTGAGAGAAAGAAAGCTCCTGTCCAAGAGAGGGACAGAAGGGGGGCCCGAGCGGGTAGTTCCCCCTGTATTAATTATTGAAACTGTCCTACTAATCGGTTTTGAAACTGTCTCATTGCTATTTGCTTAATAAAATTATTTAAACCCCCCACCCCCCAAAAAAAGAACACTAGAACTTACCCAGACTCCCTCAGTCAGAGCCCGTTCTAGCTGAGTCACATCACCAGAGGGCCTAAGAGATGGCTTTGCATTAAAATAAACCACACTAAGATTGGCTACTTCTTTCCAGTTTAATCTACTATAATTTGGAATTGAACCAACCAGAACTTGAAAAGAAACAATTAAAATGTCCACCTCTATTGTATAACCCAGAATATTAAAAGACACCAGCTCCAGTGGTCTCATCTGACACAGGAGAAATGAAATTTTGAGAAGTAAATAACTTATCCAAAATCACACAGTTAATCAGGGTTTCCACCAGAACAACAGTCCCACTATTTATCAGCAACCATCACATATCTTCCTCACAAGATACCCTTTCTTTGAGGTACCAGCATGAGTCTATTTCAGATCTGCTTTTATACATGTGGGAAATGATGATGAAGAAAACAGTGAAGTACCAACCTGGAACAAATGCTGTGAGATATTCAAACCACTGCCTGATTGTGGAGTCACCAAATAAATATACTATCTTTCTCTGCAAGCACTCTGTAATGTTGTCAGGGTCATTAAACTGGCGCATCTTAAACTTTCTGGGCCTCCACTGGTCTTTGTAAAAATACCCAGAAGGAAAAGTTCCTGAGCCTTGAGATACTCCTAAGTTGTAAGTTTCTGTAAAGAGAAAAAGGAAAAATAATATATCGCAAAATTTCTCTCCAGTAAGATTAAAAACATTCTAAGAAATACAGTTATGTCCACATGTTTGTTAGCCTGCTAGCACACAAGCAACATTTCCTGTTGTCATATCTTCAAGAAATCAGAGACTCCTCCCCCATACAAAAGGTTCTTTTTGAACAAAAATGGCAAGATGTGTGAAATGAGTATGGAGCATTAGTGGACACAAGGAAAAAAAGAGACTTCAAGCATTCTATCTTATTACATATGTTTTTATCAAAGCCAAAAATAAAAGCAAAAGCCAAGGAAATGTGTGGATATAAACATTTGTCCAGCACTGTCCCAAAAGAGAAGAACTGCTTTTCATCTAAATGTTATTAATCCCTACTTAGGCAGGTGCAGGGACTGGGGTTTGATCCCCAGCATCACAGGCTATGCCAGCCCCACCCCCAAGTGCACTAAAAGCCTTTGAATGAGACTGGGCGTAGTGGCACACACCTATAATCCCAGTGCTGGAGAGGCTGAAAGCAGAAGGATCACTACAAGTCCCCCATCTGTGTAGTGAGATCCTATACCAAATACACACACACACACACACACACACACACACACACACGCAAAAGAAATAAAAACTCATGAATCTAATAACAAATTTCTATCTTATATGTATAAGGTTCATCTAATGTTTCTTAGGTCATTAAAAGGAAAATTTTAATCTCTGGGTCCTACATTCAATTTTTAATTAGGAAAACTGCTACTGAGCTGTACATGGTGGTGCATACCTGCAATCCTAACACTCTGGGAGTACTGAGGCAGGAAGATCACAAGTTCAGTCTGGGTGACTCAGACCACGTTTCACAATTTAAAAAGGGCTGGGACATAGCTCAGTGTGAAAGCCCTCAGTTCACTCAATCTCAGGAAGAGATTGAGAGGGAGAGGGAAAGAGAGGGCGAGGAAGTAAAAGCCAGCCCATGAAATACAGAGAACAAACTAATGGCATATAAAAGATTAGTGCACAATACAAAAGGTTCAGAAGCTCTTTATGCATGAGAAATGCTTAAAAAAAAATCAGCAATACATACTCACCATTGTAGCCTAGCTACCCATGATGACATAAGCACCAAGACACCTTTCAGCAAAATAAGTCAACATCTCTCTGTCCTAACACCTCTTTTAAAACTGACACTATGGAAACAATACACTTTACATGCTTCAAAACAGACACTGATGGATAATATTTCTTGCAAGTTTACTCTGCACAAGATACAATTCTGAGCAATTAAACATATTATCTTACATAAAGCTCATAATAACTCTTTAAAGGAGGTTTCTACCTTTTAGAACAATTAAAGAACTTGATAAAGGTCATAGAGTTCAGTTAGTACATGAAAAAGCCACAACCTGACAAGTAAGTAAGACCCTGAATTCCAGGTTCTTTTTTTTTTTTTTTTTTGCGGAACACAGGGATTGAACTCAGGCCCTTGCGCTTGCCAGGGAAGCACTTATTCCACTGAGCCATCTCCCCGGCCCCAATCCCAGGTTCTTAACCACTGTGCTATATACTACTTCTCAAACACAGATGTCACCCATTTCTTTTGACCTTTTCCTTGAGGGTATATACTTAATCATTTCTAACAATTAATTTAAATCTATGATCTTCAAGAAACCACCTATCATTTTATGTCACTTCCTTACATACAGCAAAGTTCAACCTTGATCATAATCCAATCATGGCTACCTGTTTAAACATAATTTGAAATGCGAATGCATATGTGACTCAGAAATTCAAATGCATATGACTCAGAAATTCAAATTTCAGCCCTCAATTTGTGAGCATTTTCAGTCTATGTGACTGCCTCACATTATCATATTACTCAAGATTATTTTGGATTTTTTCATTCTCTTCAAAGAAAAAGATACTCGATTTGACAGAGTGTACATATCTAATCTTTCTCTTTACTCAAGATCATTTTGGATTTTTTTCTTCCATCAAAGAAAAAAATGTCAAAAAAAAAAAAAAAGAAAGAAAAAATGTCCTATTTAACGGATAATACTGTATATATTTAATCTTTCTTTTCTAAAACATCTGCTAATTCTTCGTAAGTTCATGACAAGTAAAAAAAAATCAGAATTTTGTAAGCCTTTATTTTGGCAAATACTATCATCAAAGAAAATGAGGGGGTAAGATATTTACTTGGCTAATTTAAAATCAATTTTTTCCTGTGGAGTGTAGTATCCTATAATACTATTATTTGGGATAGTGAGGTAGGATGATTACTCTAGTCCCAGAATTCAATAACAGCTGGAGAACATTGCCAGATACCATCTCAAAATTTCTCAGAATGTTATCAGGTACAGCTTACTACCTATGCCTCTCCTAAAGGGCACTTGTAGTAATACACCCAAGTTGCACAGCAAGAGAGATACACAGAAGACAGCTGGGCCCCATTAAAAAAAAAAAAAAAAAAAAAAAATCACTAAAATGAGAACTAAACCTGATTTTGAAAATCAATCTTACCATAGCTAATTTGGCAGACTTGGCTACTTTGTGTCAAGAACATGTTAAAAAGAAAAGTGTATTTCACACAGAAACAATTACTATTTCTATTCAAACATTAATTACATTTACTACCAGAGTAAAATCAAGCAAAGCAAAACAATTAATGAACCTGACTTTGATTCTTTAAACATGCCCTGTGCCACACACTTCTGCTGCCCCCTTATGTTCAGTGAAGATGAAAATACTTCCTTACTTAGGATTTCAAGCAGTCTGAAATTGCTTTAAAAGTCAGTGTTTCTTGGAACACAAAGCACTGTTACATAAGATAAATAAAATGATTATATAACATCTAATGTATTATTGAAGTGGAATAAACATTAAAACAAAAAATGTTACTAGTGAAATTCGTGGTTTTTAAAAATTATTTCTTGTAAGGGAAAAACAATACACAACTGGTTGTAAAGGTAGATATAATACAAGATATCATGTCTGTATCTTGTATTATGAATAACTACTACAAAGCCAACAATATGCAATGTATTAATTATTGTAACTGTCCTACTAACCTGTTTTGAAACTATCTCATTGCTACTTCTTTCTCAATAAAATTATCTAAAAATAAATTAAGATAGATATAATAATCTTTGTGCAACATAAGAAAGTATATTCTAGGGCTGGTGAGATGGCTCAGTGGTCTAAAGCACCTACTTAGAACAAGCTAAGCTAAGCAAAGCACAGGGACCGTGGTTCAATCCCCCAGCACCACATGCCAGCCAGCCCCGCCCCCAGGTGGGCTGAGCTGGCCACACACACAAAAAAAATAAATAAATAAGTAAATAAATAAATAATTTTTTTAAAAAGAAAGTATATTCTGAATTAACAAAAGTAGTGTCCCACACTCTTTTAAATGTCTTGGCTTCTCTTTTTAAATTTTTTTTTTTAACATTTATTTATTGTGGGGGGGGCAGCTCAGCCCACCTGGGGGCAAGGCTGGCTGGCATGTGGTGCTGGGGGATTGAACTGCGGTCCCTGTGCTTTGCCAAGCTTGTTCCAAGTAGGTGCTTTAGACCACTGAGCCATCTCTCCAGCCCCTTGGCTTCTCTTTAAAACCTGTAGCTACATTTTCCTCCAAAGAGTGTCATCACGTCATTCACTTGCCATGAAGGCATCTGGGCCAAAACTGGGAGAAAATGAGAGTGGGGAAAGGCAGAGATAAATTTCCCTAAACATGCTATGAAGAACTGGATGAAGGGATACAATATAAATTAAGGGTCAAATTTGGGCACCATCTTAGCAAAATAAGCTCCTCTAAGCCAATGAGACAGCTCAGTGGACTAAGCACCTGCAGGGACTACGGTTTGATCCCCAGCACTACATGCTGTGCAGGCCTGCCCCCAGGGCAAACTGAGCCAGCCAGAGTCCAGGAGTAGTGGTACATGCCTATAATCCCAGCACTGCGCAGGCTGAAGGCAGAAGGATCACCATGAGCCTGAGCTGCATAGTAAGACCCTACAACAACCAAGTACATTTTAAAAACTTTTTAAAAGGGGCCAGGGAGATAGCTCAGTAGAATAAGCACTTGCCTGGCAAGTACAGGGTCCTGAGTTCAATCCCTGGTACTGCAAAAAAATAAAAAATAAAAAAAAAAGAATAAGCTTCTCCAAAATACAAGGGCCAAGTTTCCAAGAAACTTGTGCATGCTACACAAGTGCTATACCACCGAGCTATGCCCTCAGCCCAAGCCAACCATTCTTTATGAAAACAATTCCAACTAATAAATGTTGAAAAAAAAAAGAAAGATACGTTAAATCATCATAATTCCATAGAAATTACTGCTTCAGACAAGAGCCAATGACTGCTAAAACTAATAGGTCTGATTTTAAGCAAAAACAATGTTTGCATGAAGAATAAAACCTTATTTGGGAGAGCTGAGCTGGAGAGACAAGAAGGAAATTGTGTTTCATGCAGAGGGGCGTTGCCAAGTTTCCAATGGGCGGGCGCAGATGAAATAGAAGAGCCAATGAGTGTAAGATGTTGAATGACAGCTGTCCAATAGAGATCCTCAGTGCTAGTGAGGTTTGCAGCTTAAGCAACGCCGGGGTCTGAGGAACATCAACTATTCAACATGGAGGCGGAGGTCGATAAGCCAGAACTGATGATATACGCAAGCAAAATTGGAAGAAAAAAAGGAAAAAAATAAGAAGAGAAAAAAAGGAAAAAGAATTGAAAAAAGAAGATAAAACAATTCCAGAAAGCTGACTCTGATCTGGATTATATTCAGTACAGGCGGGAATATGAAATCAAGTCTAATCATCATGATTCAGCAGGAGAGAAAAATCCAGTAACGCTCATAAAGGAATTTCAGCCATAAAGTCTCAATACCAAACTTTGTATGCACATTTTAAACCTGTTGCTATCGAACAGAAAGAGATTAAGAGCCACATTTATACTACTTTGAATAAAACTATGACCATGACAGAAGAACTATGAAAGCAAA